CAGCAGTATCGGTGATTGTGCTTTGCTCTGTGTTTGTACAGTTCCTCGCACAAAGACATTCCTTTCTGTGACTAATCTTCCTAGGAATTATAGTGATGCAAGTAATAAGTAATTAGTATATTTCATTACGCTAGCTCTGAGAAACTCAATCATGTTTGGGGGCTGGTTGTCTCACAGTGCTGTAGAGGACATCCTTTAGCTTTCATTTGTCTTGCTTGTTGATGTTGTATCAAGAAGGCATTCTGCTGATGTTTGAGAACTAGAAACTCTCAGATTGTGTGACCCTTTTCTAATTTTCCTTGGCTGACCACCTGGGCCTAAGAAAAATGTGATATTATCACAGTACTGCAGTTTGGAATGAAGCCCCCTGTGGTAGTCCAAGAGTACAATTGTCAAGAAATGGATACAAATGACCAAAACAGTGGATGCTAATGCGAGGTATTTATTATTCTCAGTAGTGCATGACTTCTGAGATGCTGGCTGGCATGGAGGGTGGGGAAGAGATTCTCTATAAATTGAGTGGAAAGCTTATTTTGTTGTTTCATTTTTGAAGCTAGATTGTCTTCCTTTATTGCAGCTGTGATTCTTAATGTACGTGTTGTTCCAAGCTTAATTTCAAGCTCTCAGCTATTATTTTTTTACCTAGTTAAATATCTGTGTGGTTTTCCTTTCCAAGAAGAATTTATTACTATGCTTTGGTCTGTGAGCTATAGACAGATAACTGTACAAAAGCTGTAATACCAGCACTTCCTATGTGTGTGTGTGCTTTTTAGAAAATGAGTTGTTAAGTTGGTGGCTTACACCTATGTTAGGGTGTGTCCTTGTCACAAGCAGTTGTGAGACACAAAAACCTCGGGACCCTCCATGGCCCCGTTTCTGTAGACACTGAGTGGTCAGTGAGGCTGAGGTGAGGCATCCCTATAGCTTTTGGTGGCTGTCCTTTCCCCCTCTCCATCCCAGTCCTCGAGTCCAACCAGATTGACTCATCAGGGGTGTGACGTCAGGGGCGGCAGCAACTTCTGAGAGTTTCACCATGGTGCCACTGATAGGTGATACTCCAAATACCATGGCCACACAAGGAGGGAAGGGCTGGCAGGGGAGAGCAGAGCTTAAAGGGGAGGTAGCCCCTTTGGGTGGCCTTGTGGTAGCTCAGCTCTGGTAGGAAGTAAATGTTTTCCTGGACTTGTGCCAAGGAGAACGTGGAGAGAGGCTTGGTTGTCCCTGGTCATGGTGGGGATGAGGGATGGCGCTCAGTCTTGAAGCGCACAGTCCCAAGGGAAGGGGTTACGGTTCATATTTGCTTTCTGCGGTGTATGGTAGCTGTTGTAGAGGTGTGATGTCTCCAGTGGAAGAACAGAAGACTGTTCGGTGCACTGTCTTTCAGTCTTCTCCTTTGGTTTGGGATAGTGCTTGCTACCCTATGCAAGAAGTGCCAGTGTCTGATAACTACTTTTGTGAAAGTGTCTCCTGAGTTGGATTTATTACAATTCCTTAAACTGATATCTGCAGTGGAGTAATTCAGCTTTTATTGAAGTTGAAATGTATCTTACCTCTTATTTCAGTGGGTGAAGCAGTAAGCCAACTCTGATTACTTTTCAAAACTGTACTGTAAAAGTAGACTATATGGCATACTGTGCTGCAGGCGCAGATTTGTGAATTCTTCTTTTGTTTTGCTTTCTGAAGGATTAGTGTTCGGATTTTCCAGGGCTTCAGCTTGAATTTAAATTTTACTACGTGGCTTTCTGAAAGTGAATTTATGAATCATTGTTATGGATTTTGAGTAATTATGTTGTCATGCTGTTATTGATAGATGCAGAGTCATACAGCTTTGAATAATGTCAGCTTAAAAAAAAAGAGACTTCAGAAGTAGTGGACATAATTGTATTTCCTTTAACATCCATGGGAGCATGAAAAGGTCACTACAATATCTCACTGATGGTCAGAAATATTTCATTAAAAGGTGGCAAGTGCTTGTGTTACTTTGGTAGAAGAAAAGAATTTGTCAGCACAGCCATTCAGTCTCAGGATAGTATTCTTTTTTGTGGTTGGTTTTTTTTTTTTGTATTTTCACTTAGTACATTAAGCTTCAACCCTATTCAGGATTTCTAAGCTTATTTCTAAATAAGCTGTTGTATTTGGTGCTGTATTCCTACAATTTCCAAGATCACTTCAGTTAGAAATTTATCATGTCTTTTTACTATTACAGGTAGCTGTAATCAGAAGCTATTTATGGATCTGATGCAAAAGTTGGTTAGACTTTTAGAATATAATTCATGTCCAATTGGCATTTAGTTAGTTGTACATGCTTTAATGAACCTCTAGGTAATCCGTTATTTTGGTTTGAATCAGTTTGGCCACTCTGATATGAGAAGGTCCTGACATCATGATGAAAGTTCACACTAAACAAATCTAATTAATGAAAAGCCACTCATGAACAAGTAAATATATTCTAATATTGAAAATACCACAAAATAATAATTAGAAAAAATGGGAAAAGTTAGCTCTCCAAGGTGCTTTAGTATTTTAAAGAAAGGAAGTGCTGATTTGTGTGTTAATGTAATGTTACACGTTTTCATGATAGAATCAGGAAGGAGACTAGAGGAAGAAAATGTAGAGAAATTACTTAACTTGTTTCTGCTTTCATAAAAGAGGTTTTTTTGTTTGTACTTTCAGGTCATTTGGTTCAAATACAGCTTACTAGCATGAGGAAAGAATTACGGGCCCAGAGGCCTGTCTTAAAGTGTAAAAAAAACAGCAGTAGCTAATGATAAAAGTGAACAATGATAGCATAGAACACTGTTAATCATTGTAAGATATAATACTACCAGAGAAGAATAGCAAAGGAAACCAACCTACTAACAACACAAGTTGTATATTGACCTGGATTTTATAGGGCTGATAGGTCTGTGTAAGCTATGTAGAAGTATTCTTCTGTTGATTAAACTAAAGGTGCTTTTGTTGAGTAAAGCTAATGCATTTGTCATGTATAATCTTTTCTTGATTATATTAGTACTTTTCTAATGTAGTTAAAATTGCAGACAAGAATTACAGGCAAGAATGATTTTTATTTGTAGCCAATTTATAGTGACATGCTGTATAGTCTTGCCAGCAAAACAAAACAACTGCCTTTGTCTGTTCTTTTCTAAGGATCTAGTCACCTGTGTTAGGGCAAGGTACATTCTGCTTTTAAAACAAACTCTGAGAATTTAAGAACATTGAGCTCTCCCTGTCCTTGGTTGAATTGCAGAGAGTGATTTATGCTTCAGCCAGGCATGGAAATAAATAATATTGCTTTTAATTGGTGTGCTTTACAATTTTTATTCCCATAATATAAAAATGTAACAATGAAAAATAGTATGTAGAATAAACCTTTTATGACCATTTGAGTGTGGTTAGGGCATATCTCTCTTATTGTCAGTAGGGATTTTGCTCTTGCCTTTGGAGATAAAGTATTTAGGCCTTTCATTATTAGTGAGTTTTAACTGCAGAGTGTGTGTGAATATATGTATATATGTCTACAGACACTTAGATGGCTTTTACTCTAATCTGGAAGTGTGCTATGAATGCAGTTTTGCAAAATAAACAGGGATGTTTTGTTTTGGGTTTTTTTGACAGTTCACAGATGGAGAAAATTGAGACATTGCAGAATCATAGTAAGCAAAGGGTTAAGTATGAAGGTTTTACATGGAATTCAATGATGAATGTACTGGTTATAATCTTACTGGCCTCAGTGTTGAGAATCTCGTGTGCTGAAGGTAAAAGTTACGGTTCAGTGTTTTGCTGCAGCAAGATCATAATACTTAATTAAAACCTTAATGTATACATGAATGAAAACCATAATTGAAGCCATACTTCAGTTTTATTTCTGTCAACTTAATTTGTTTGTCTGAACAAGTTAATTAGGCACCAAGTCTATGATTGAACAAACTACTTAAACATGTGCTTAATGTTAAACATGTGAATCTAGTGATGAAAGTTGGGCATGTGCTGTTCAGCTGAGCTGGGGCTGAAATTACCCCATCTGTGCAATATCTTAGCCCAGTGATTTGCACTGACAAGTGCAGCTTTTGCCTGAAAATCTTTTTTATGTCAGGAAATGTTTAGATCTAGTTGATTCTACCTTGGGGTAGATTGTGGCTGAGATGATCTCTCAAACCCCTTACCAGTCTTGTCTTCTAAGGTTTATATAACAGGAAAACATAAGTGATGAAAAGTCAGAGTTCAAAAATTATTGGTATCATTTGAAAGATGTCCTTGAAAATTTGCTACTGTATGCTTACATTTAAGTTCTGGCATATCTATAGACTTACAGTAAGCATCCACTTTTGAAGTGATTGCAGTTATGTTTATGAATACTTCTGTGCTGTGCTTTCTTGCAATACTTTTCTATTGTGAAGTGCCACAGAGTTTGAAGGACCACAGAAGCATTTCTGTGGTTGTGCTGTTCCCTCTTCATTTTGTTGTATGCACATCTTTTAGAATGTGAACTGGTATGTTTCCTGTTTTGTCTTTTCAGCACCATTTTAATTCACAGACTGAGGAGATGGCAGAGAAAGGGGCGATAGCCGTGTTCATGCTAATGACAACTCCCTATCAGAGTCTTTTCACTCCTGGCTGCCTTCTTGCACTTGGTCAGCATTCACTTAATTTCATGGCTGGTTTAGCTAATGTGAAGGCAGCTGACCTTATTGCAAACTTCAGCTTTTGAAGAGGCAGGTTTTCCCTGTGTTAGAGCTCTAAGTCATTGCTTGGCTTTGTTCTTTCTCCCTGACAGACCATATAGTGCTTGTACTTTGTTTCTTGCAACCAGTAATGTCACAAAGTTAACAATCATGTGCAGTCCTCTTTCATGTATTATTTACTACAATATCAATTATTTTTATTTGTGTATTTTTTCAAACAGGCGTTATACACAATGGATTACTTACTGACTTTGGATTGATATCAGTCATAGCTGTGGGTCTGTAAAAACACACTTTGATTACATTAACTTCTTAAAAATGAATGGGAGGTCATGCAGTATGAGCCATCGGACAACAGGTATTCCTCATGGACCTAGGATGATCAGTGGACAGCAGATCCCACCTACCAGAGTGCACGCAGGAACGCCCTGCCCATCTTCAAATAGCAGCACCCCAAGCCCAGCTATTGGAAACTTGTCTTCCAGCCTACACATAAAGATGCCCCTTGGAGGAGGGGTAGCTCCTCAGAGCAACATCATTGACAGTACTATACACCTTCCTGCTCTAAGTCCCAGGAAACAAGTGGTTACAAATGGGAAGCCTTTATTACAAGTCCCACAGCCCCCAGGACTGCCAGCCCCACAGTCTTTAAAGCCAAAACAGCAAGAATTTGGAAGTACTTTCTCCCCATGCACAGGTGAAGGTAAGACTCCTTTTTCTATTGCTAGTAGTAATAGCATGTCTTCTCCAATATCACGTACCTAGATGATATTGGTTTTAGTAGATGGCATCCAGTCTCTTCTTTACCACTCTTTTACTACAAAGGAAGAGATACTGAAACAAAATGTTTTGTTATTTTCCACAAAAGTAATTCATTGTTTGATTGTTCCCAGGGGCTTTGTATTACACAGCAGTTGCTCAGAATCCCTGAGTTGTCCTAAGATTCTTTATAAACAGTGTAGTGTGACTTTGCTTTGCTAGCCTAATCTCTTGACTCAACAAATCCAGATAGTAATTTTATGTTCTGTGGCACCAGAATTTTGCGAGTGCTATCAGAAATACTCCTTCTTGGATGCACGAACACAGCTTTCCACTGGTGACTAACAGCTACTTGCGATGAAAGCAGCAATGTAGTCATGCTTTTTTAGACTGCTTAGGCTGGACAAGCTGTAAAGCACTTTGGAGCATATCTGACCATAGATTTGCAATCCATTTTTTGGAACCACTGTTTATGCTGTAGAAAACAATGATGCATAGCCCTCACAAAATTTGGAGGCTGGTCCTCTGTGAGTAAGTGCTTGTGCATCAGAGATTTACCTATCTATGAGAAAGTACTTGGCTGTCTGCTCTTGGGTCTTTGAAGTCAAAACAGAACTTTTAAGTTTTCAGTACTTCGTGACTCTGGTCATGCTGGAGATTGGGATACTCTTTTGGAGGAGTTTTGGTATCATACTTTTGAAACTGAATGTACATAGACATGAGAATTTAATGTATAGAAAAATAATTAAATAGTTTAAAATACCAAGAAAAGCTTGGGCTGATATCTGAGTGAAAGTGCAGAAAAGGAGACGGAGATTTCCCATTTTATTCCAAATGTATTGCTTCTCTCCGTTTCCTGTTTTTCTTCACTACTTCCCTTTGAAAACTTAGGAAGTCCATCCCTCCTCAGCAAGGCTTGAAACCAGTATCATTTCAGAACAAGCTGAAAGTTAACTGCATGCTTGAATGCTCTGCTGAGTCAGACCAGTGGTAATGCATATACATATTCATTGGGTGACCTCTGAGATCACCCGTCTGGTGCTTGCTTTGGTGGTGGGTGTAATTCACAGCATATAGCTTTAAGCTTCTGCTACAGTGAAGAGAGGTGGACTCCTCACATGATGAGCTTTGGAGGAACTTTTCCATCTCTCTTTCACTACAGGTAGAGCCTGATTCCTGCTGTCTTCAAAATTACATGCCTAAAACCAGGGAATCCATGCTGGGATCTCTAAAATAGCCCTGCATAACAGCTAAGCCACCTGCAGTATGTGTTGCAGAGCAGCATCACAGGGTGAAGAGAGCGTCATGTACTTGGTTTGGGGATTTTGATCTGCTGTGCTGGACCGTTCTGTTCCTAGCTGCTGTCATTTCCATCTTTCCGTCTTGGCCTGATTAGCTCTCACATATGGAAAATAGTCTGCTATTTTGTGGGATAGCGAGTAGAGAATTCAGCCGAAGGGCTGGCATTAGGGAAGCTTATATATAAGCAGTGCTGGTTAGACAAGATACTGTGGACTTCAGATACCGTGGACTTCAGATTCTATGTTTCTATGGATTTGGATTAGTAATTCCTCATGCTTTAAAGTTTTTGTTATTAGCAGGATCACTTACAGAGTTGAAGATTATGCGTGCTTGGAATGTACCCACTATGGAAGAGTGAAGTCTCATTCACTTGGTCATGTCCAGATAATTTTCTAAGACTTTGAACTGTATGCTGTATATATGCTACATATATACACACACACACATGCTGTATAAAGCATAGCATGTATGTAAATAAGACTGTAAACCTTATAAAACTATTCATGTAGTTTATGTTATATATTTTGTCCTTTTCTAGTGGCGGGTACATGGACGGAAATATCTTTTGGTAGGTACTTATTTTAGTTAAACCTCCATCTCAAGAAGACAACACTTTTCCTTTTACAGTTGTCTCAGTATCATTAATAGAGGTTTGCACTATTAAAAGTTGTTTTTTTGTTGTTTTTTTGTTTTTTACTTTAAAACACATGGGATAGTAAAAGCAGCAAGATATACAACAAAATTACTTGTTAGTGGTTTTGGAATAGTTTGCCTGCATTCTTTCAATAATGGATAAAACAGTTTAAAAAAAAACCCAGGAGCTTCAGTTTGGGGTGGAGGAAAGAACAGAATATTTGGGGGCAATCCAGTTGTGTGCCTTGTTTTTTACAGAGGGGTTTTTTTTGACAGGAGGTGGTGCTGAGTGCACAAAAAGAGAACAGTAATAATCTACAGTAACCACAACACACAGAGAGTCTTTACTTTGCATGAAGACTCTCTTTATCTTGTATAATGTTACAAAGCTTTGAAAGGAGATGATTTTTTAGAAAGGATGCCACCTAAGTCACATTGAGAGAAACTGTTATGCTTTTGTGCATGATGAGAACCTGAAGCACGTTGTGCTGTGTTACTGTATGGAGAAAAAAAGCAAGTCTGAACATGCACTGGTGTACATCTCTGACTTCAGTTACTTCACCTCCTCTGTGGTACTGATGGTATAATATGCTTTCTAGTACTGTGCTGTGTATATGAAAAGGAAATAGTATAATGGTGGATTTTTTTCAGTACTGAAAAATGTGCTAGTACAAAAGTTTTTTTTTTTTTTTTTTTTTTTTTGCTAGGAGTGTACACTTTTGTGTACCCATATTAGGTATTTTCTAATAGAAATTATATGCAAAATGCAGGCATAACAGGACATGTATTTGGCATTGGAAATTGACAGTCTCTCATTTTGTTTGATATGTGTATTTGACCACTTTTTGTGAATAATCGGTTTCACACCTTTTAGATTTACTCAGGCCTAGAAAGTGATCTTTACTGACAGTCTCCGCTGAGGTGAAAGTGAGCTAGAGAGACATCAGGCAGGAATGAGCAGAAAGGGGAAAAGGGTGAGAACAGTAAAGGAAGACACAAGACCATAGCCTGGCTAGCACTGGTCTTCAGCTTTTCTCATCAATGCGGATCTTTTGATTCAAGTCTTGTAATGAAAAATAATATAATTTAAAAAATCCAGCGGTCTGTTAAGAAGGTAATTTTTTAAAAGTCTGTAAATTTCAAATAGTTCAAATAAGAACTGTGATCTAAATGTAGTGATGTCCAAAAGTTATGTATTCAAGGATTTATTACCAGCATATCTGTACTTTATACACATCTGAATAATACTTTGTTTCCTAGAAAACCTAGTAGCTGTTCTTATTGCTTGTCTTATTCACTCTTCTGTGCAGACAAGGGACTTGTGAGCGTGAGCTGGACTATATTTAGGCATATCCTGAGTGTTCTCATGTCTCATGTAGTAGTAAAAATCCCAAATTTTTCTGAAAACAACACATTTACTGAAAGGACTGATATGTATGTTCAACACCTATACTGGTTTCTCTTACTCAGTGAATGAAAACATGTTTTTGAAGTCCATCAAGAGGTATTAAAGATAAACATGTCCCTCCTGGTGTAGGTAGTTGCGGAAGGTGGCTGTGGGAGTAGTTCGGGTGGAGACCTTGTATTTTTCCCTCAGCATTATTCATAAGCACCACTGTGGGGAGGGTCCTGCTGTGGGAGTTGGATCCTTGGTCTGAATCGCTGTGATATTACTTAACATGCTTATGGCAGTTCATTCCAAGTTTAGGAGTGGATTTTCCTGTCCTGTAAGACAATATATTGTAGTCTTAAAGCAGCTTGGATTTGGCTGATGGAGAATTTCTACTGTGACTGAAATTCCATGCTGAGGTGCTGTTGGTGGAGGTGGTGCAGCTGCTGCACCTCCAGCCACTGTGCTCATAACCTGGTGGAGAGGTCCAACATGGACATGGAGAGGGGAGAGGCAGCCTGTCAGCCTGGCTTTTGGTCTTACTTATTGTGATTGTGGTTTTAGCTGGTATGTCTGGCAAGACTTCCTAGAAATTGTGAGCAGCTCTCAGTCATAAGAGCCGTAGCCATCTCCTTGCGTCCTCCATTCTCCCTGGCAGCAGGTGACACTGCACACGTGGAGAGTTCAAGCCTTGGAAACCAGTCTGGCCTTCTGTTCCACCCTGACTGCTCTACTAAAACTAGTGTAGTCAACATGTGGGTATGTGACTAAGACTATGTTATAGTTGTGAAGACTGAACATGAAAATACTTGAGATGGGACTTGAAGAAGCAAACCTGGACATTTGTTTCTAAGAAATGCAGAAACTTGTGCAGGTAGGCACAAGTTTATTTTCCTTTCCAGGGCCATTGAAAAGACAGCTGTCATCTTCCATTTCTGTGGTTCCTGCAGTGTTAAGTTTGTTCCATGATATGAAAAATCATTGTGTATTGTATATCTTGCAAATGTGACTGTAAATCTTTTCTAGTAAAATGAGACAGTTAGCTAATGTTCATGTGTAAGATGAGCATGTTTCCTGTTGGAGATCATTAAGGCTCTTCCTTATGCTAGAAATAGTTGACAGGCATTAAATCTTAGGATTTTTTTTTTTCCACCAGAGGCTCTGGAAGAAGCAGCTCCAATGCTGCTAAGCTGTGTGAGAATTGTGAACTTGGTCAGGGAGGATCATTTGTCTCCAGTTGCCAAGAGAGCCTTGTTTCAGTTTTGAACAATAGCCGCACAGGTCTGTGAGGAGTGTTATATGCAGAAGTGTTAATCAGTAAGCAGCTTGAGCCACACTTGAAATCTCTTTGACATACTTGTTTTGCTCTCTAGTACTGTTGTTTTTATGTGTCAGTTGGCGCAGTCTCAAAAAAGATGTTCATTAGTATTCTGTGCAGTTTCTTACGCAGAAAGCTTGACTCGACTTATTTTTTCGGTTGTTTTCTATAATCAATTGTCAGCAGTTTTAAAGCCTGGTTATTGATGATGTTTAGGTACAGCAAAGTGATTAAGTGATAATGATCTTAGTTTTATCCAGCATGACACATTTTCCAGCTTTGCATATGCTTCAGTGGCCTT